CAGTGCTCCCATATTTTAATCAGAGGATATTCCAGAATCAATCACCTCTGATTTGGGGCTGATCACAGAAACTATCACAGTTGAGTGAAACTCCCAAAGCATCACACATTAATTGTGCCGTGGAAGTTTAATACTGCACAAAGTTCAGAGTGCAGCACTGTAAAACCCACAACAAAAATTGATAGGAAAATTGTTTCTGCAGGAATACTAAAATTGTCATGTCAATCTTCCATGGAATATCCCCCAAAGGGATATTATGGGATGGGGCAGAGAATCCAGCACAGCTCCAGGTTCTGCTTCCCAAATATCCACGGCACAGGGAGGAAAAATGGGATTTAATGGCTCAGAGCAAGACTGAAGGGCCAGGATGGCTCTCACCACACAAATCCCATGGGTGAGTGTGGAACAGCCACGGGGACGATGGGAACCTGCCCTCCCAACTCCAGAACCTCCCAAAATCTCCCAAAATCCCACCCTGACACCTCTYCAAATCCTCCTGGGAAAGGCTTTGCTGGCCAAGGGTTTGTTCCTGACAGGGCTGAGCTCCAAAAGCAGAGTCCAAGAGTTCTGACGGGGTGTGAACCGTGGGCAGGGAGGATTATCAGTGCCCAGGGTCATTTTGTGCAAGGAGCAGGAGCTGCTTAATCCCTGGGGTGACTCAGAGTTCAGGGAATGAGCCGTGCCTAAAACCAGGCTGGGCAGATCTGRGGACTGGGAGAAAAACCAGAAAGGAGCCTGGCTCCCTCCTCCTCCTCCTCATCCCTTCAGAAAATGCAGATTCTCAACCTAAAGCAGGAGGGAGAGCAAAGCAGTTCAATCTAAAAGGTTCATTTGAGTTTAGCAGAGATTCAGAAATAGAGGAACCAGAGCTGGGTACCCCCGTTCCCTGAACTGCTCTGGATTCACTCAGGGATCCTTTTAGGACACCTGAATACACCATCACTGCATCAATTATGGTGATTTATCCCAGTTTATGAGAATGGAGCATGTTCAATCTGCTATTTGACATGGTTTTGGGGTAAATTTTGAGAAATTAAACCAAAATTCTCCAGGATTTCCTTGAGATCGCTGTGCCTCATTCTTACCAACATCAGGTGTAAAATGGGAGTGAGCTCAGGATGGGAAATCAGCCACCAGTGAATATATTGTGAAACTACTGTGAAAAAACACTATTGTGGTTTTATAACCTTCCCCTGTGGATTCTGCTGAAGATATCCTGGGATAGAGGAAATCTTAGCCTGGCCCATCATGGATATTCTTACATTTTTCCTTTCAAATAAACCTTTAAAGGATGTAAAAGTGAGAGAAAGCAGAAATAGTAAAGATATTTCTATATCCTGGAAATTTCCAGGTCCTCAGATGCTTTAATTAGTATTTAATTATGATTTTTCATACAGATCTTATACAGCAAACAGCCCAACACATCGAGGAATCCTAACCACGACTTTCAGTCCCAGTTTGGAGCTGCTCTGAGTGAAGCTTGGGAAGTTTCCAGGGCTCATCTCCGTGCCTCAATTGATATTCTGATCCAYGGAGCAGGAGCAGTAGTTAAAGCTGCAATTTCCATTGCAGCCTTTGAACTGTTTATGAGATATGATCCTGCTTATTTATGGACTTTTTAATTGCTGCTTTAAATTGAAAAAAAAAAAAAAAAGTTTGGCTGTCAGGAGAGCATGGCTTGGAGTCCACCTGCTTGCAGAGATGTGGAATGGAATCACTGACAGGTTTATTTTCTGTGAAAATCTCTAATCTTTTTTTTTTTTTTCTCAAAATGATGGTAAGAATCAGTGAGCCCAATGATTTAGGGCCAGAAAAGTCACCACAGGTAAAGGACAAGGCTTAGAAGGCAGGAGGATTAAATTTCATTCCCATCATCTACAAAGTCTCAGGGAATTGCTCTCTTTTGTTTTCTCTTCCATAAAGACCACACCAAAGCCCTCACAAAAACGAGACCAATTTCAGTGCCAGCTCAAAATCTTTCACTGATTTCAAGATATTCACATCTGGRTGCCTAAATATTAATAAGAAATATCCAAATTTCTTTGAGAATTCTTGCACTTCTGAATGTGAATTTCACATTCAGCCAAAATTCCCACCCTCAGATCTCGGGCCTTTTGGAGCAGCAGCTTTAGAAATACCGAGCGTAAATCTAAACTCAGTCTGCCACGAAGAGCCTTTTACAGCAGAGTTAATTAAASAAGTTTAAACTGTGCTTCTTCTCCTTCCCCTGGCATGGGGCCTGCTCTCACTAATTCAAGCAGCAGATTCCCAAAACGCTGGAGGAGGGGAGCTGGAGCCTGTGTTCTCACCATTTCAATTCATTTTCATGCTGAATGTATTTTGTAACAATCTGGCCTTTGTTGGCGCTGCAAACACCTCGGGATGCTSGGAGCCCCTGTCCTTAATGCCATCCTCTGCAGGGGAGGTGGGCATTTCCATTCTGGAGGTGAGATTTAATGATYATTTCTGCTGACATTTCTGTGCTTTTTCAGCCCTGACTGCTGTGAGTAAACAGCCTTTTGTTCTCCTTTGCAGCAGCCACCTCGCAGACCCAGCGTTCTGCCTCTGCAGTGAAAATGGGATTTATGGGAGAAACTGCCCCYCTCTGCCTCGCTGGGGTTCTCTTCTTTTCCTTGGCATGGTGACTTTGCCAAGGAGATTTACATCTGCCTGGAATGGAGCTGGCACAGCTCTGCCACCTCTGCGTGGTCACCGTGACTGGACAGAGTGATCATGCGTGTTCCAGACCCTGCTCCAGCACCCAGGGCTGAACAGAGGTGATTTATCCCAAATCCTGGTCTCTCAGTGTTCCAGTCCCTGCTCCAGCATCCAAGGGTGAACAGAGGTGATTTATCCCAAATCCTGATCTCTCAGTGTTCCAGTCCCTGCTCCAGCACCCAGGGATGCACAGAGGTGATTTATCCCAAATCCTGATCTCAGTGTCCCAAATCCTGCTCCAGCACCCAGGGGTGCACAGAGGTGATTTATCCCAAATCCTGATCTCAGTGTCCCAGACCCTGCTCCAGCACCCAGGGGGAATGGAGATGATTTATCCCAAATCCTGATCTCAGTGTCCCAGACCCTGCTCCAGCACCCAATGGTGAACAGAGGTGATTTATCCCAAATCCTGATCTCAGTGTCCCAGACCCTGCTCCAGCACCCAGGAGTGCACAGAGGTGATTTATCCCAAATCCTGATCTCAGTGTCCCAGACCCTGCACCAGCACCCAGGAGGGAATGGAGGTGATTTATCCCCAAAAAATCCTGATCTCACATGTCCCAGACCCTGCTCCAGCACCCAGGGGTGCACAGAGGTGATTTATCCCAAATCCCGATCTCAGTGTCCCAGTCCCTGCTCCAGCACCCAGCAGGGAATGGAGGTGATTTATCCCCAAAAAATCCTGATCTCACACGTCCCAGACCCTGCTCCAGCACCCAGCAGGGAATGGAGGTGATTTATCCCCAAATAATTTATCCCCTGGTCTGTGCACCAGCAGCTCCTGCACTGGGGCTCAGCTCTGCAGCACCCAGCACTTTGGGAAATCAAAGGTGCCTTCTACCCCTCTCTGAGCCCTGATTGAATTTACAGCGTCTCCATTGCACCAGTAAATGAAAGAATTATKGCAGAAGAGTTCTAATAGCAGTAAATGTGCTTTAAGAGATGTGTGGTTGGGTAAATCCCTCTAATGTGTTATCTGCACCATGTATTTATTTGCTGGGTTTAGGACTTTGCATAAATTAGCACTAAAATTCCTCTTGCATTCRCTAACAGCCACGTTTGTAACCTCTCCATGAATTTGTTGCCATCCACTCCCAGTTTATTTAATATCTACTTAAGCTMCTATAGACTGTTTCTCATTAAAAGCAAAAAGTATCCTCTCTGAATACAGATTCCATAATCCCAARTGCAGACATCAACTCCTTGTTTTCCATTTTAAGCTTCCCTTTCAGTTCAGCAGTGTCAGAATATCAGAATATTCAGCTGCTGGAGGTGCCAAACATCACACTGAGCAATTGACCTCCTCTGGAATGTAAAGAGTGGGAGACATTTGGCTTAAGAGAAGTCACATCAACACAACTGCCAACTGGGGAGAGTTGAAAATGAGAAATGATGTCCTGTCTGAGGTTTAACTGCCTCATTCTGCTGTCCCTGTGACTGTCACCAGCTGCCCTGTCCTACCTGTGGAGCCAACAGCTCCATAAACCTCAACCTGCTGCTCTAAAAAAGCCCTGGGCTGTTCTCCTCCTCTCTGGAACTTTCCTTCAAGCAGCTGCRAGGTGCTGGGGCACAAAGCCTGGCACCCTCTAATTCCTCACCAAACACCCATTTCTGGCATCAGGGATTACTGGGCAGTGCACTGAGATATGAAAGACATTCCCAAGGAAAAAAGCAATCCCTAAGCCTTGATGGAAGGAAAATAAAGCAGTTCTTTCATGAGCAGCACTCATAAAATCCATTTCCATGGCATCCTCATCCTCCCTCCCAGGAGCTCTCCCAGCCCTTGCAAAGTGTCCTGTTCTCAATGTCCTCACAGCACCACGACTCTGCCAGCCCTGAATGCTCCGCAGGATTATTTCCTGTGCAAAAAAAACATGACAAAAATGTTTATTCCTGTTTCTCGTAGCGCATTTCATCTGCACAGACCTGCCAGGAGTGGTTTTTGTACAAAAGCAGCCCCCTCCTGTCCCAGGGGAGGTGAGAAGGCTGCGGATGTTTCTTCTGTCACATGAACACACCAATTCCACTTGGTCTGTCAGGTATCTGAACACAAAATACTGCAGGAGCTTGGAAATGCAGGAAAAATAATCTAACTGGAAAAAATCCCACTGCACTGCTGCTTCTCTTCATCTCTGCATCACAAAACCTGCTCCACCCTCTCACCCTCTTCCACCGTGGAGCTGGGGAGGTTTCTCCTCCTTTCTATTCCCACTGGGAAGATTCTCAATCACATTTCCCTCCTCTGATTTCCTTTGTTTCAATCCAGAATTTAGGACCAAAATGTGGGCTCATGTCCCAAAGTACAGGTGATTAAATGGATTGGTACAAGGCTCAGCTTTGGGACATGGTTTAGTGTCAGGCCTGGCAGGGCTGGGTTAAGGGCTGGACTCGATGATTTTAAGAGGTTTTTGCCAACCTGAATGATTCTTTGATTCTGTCATTTTTTCCTAATCAAGACCTTGAACCTTGTATCCATAAATTCCATCCCAATTCCACAAACCTGCTCCTTAACCCCTCATTTCCCCCTCTGCACACAGAAGGACAAGTTTCTAGGATCAGTAATTTTCCCTCCCATATTTTTCAGTTTGTTTTCCATTCTGTTCCAGGGTTTTATTCTTCTCTCCATCAGTATTTAACCCAAACCCTGAACGCTGCTGACATCAGATTAATGAACYCACAGCTGATCAAATCACCTCCCCTGGAGCTTTCAAACATTTGCATCCCTTGCTATTTTGCTGTAATAACCTGTGGGAGTTGATATYCTGAAATCCTGCATCCAGATTTGGGTTCTGTCCTCAAAACCAGRAATTAAATTAAATCATTCCAGGGAACGAATAAAAATCCAAATAAACCATCCAAATAGTAAACAAATAAGGAGTTTTTCCTTTGAATAATCACTGAATAACAAATAATCAATATTTTACCATACAGCACCTTAGGAACTGGTTCTTTCCCACTCATTTTGAGGAAGCACAGTTCTCCTCATAACAATAAAAGCAATAATTATAAATTCAAACCAAAAGTAAAGCCCTTACTTGGAACAATGAGCTCGATTTCCTCTGACATGGCAGTTCCCAGCAGGTTGGATGCAAAGCAGCGATATTTCCCTTGGAAATTGTTGATGATTCCCCGRTTTTGGATCACAAAGGTCCCAGAGTTGTTTGTTGTAACAATCCTCGGGTCAGACGATAAATCAAAGGGTTTCCCATCCTTAGTCCAGTTAAAGCTGAAAAATAATGGTTCTGATGAATGYTGAAGGATCTGCCACAGCTCCTGAAATTTGCTTAAACTGATTCAAAATCAGACAGCTGGAAAATACTGTGTAACATCAATTTAACAAAGGACATACCTTTCTTTTTGKTTTTTGAGAACCTTCTTTTCAGAAAATAAATTAATGTCAACAAAACTGCTGTTTTGGCACTTCAGTGGTATTGGTAAAACTGCTTTGGGGAATATGGGATTTTTGCTCTAGGATGGAGGGAATATGGGATCCTTGCTCCAGGATGGAGGGAATATGGGATCTTTGATGCAGGATGGAGGGAATATGGGGTCCTTGCTCTAGGATAGAGGAAATGTGGGATCCTTGCTTCAGGATAGAAAGAATATGGGATCCATGTTCTAGGATGGAGGGAATATGGGATCCCCTCTCCTAACAGGCACTATCACATCATTTAAACACACCAGGAAACTTTTCATTGATGCACTGACAAACAGTGGAACAAAGAGAATTTGTTATCATGCTACAAATCCCTATTCAGAGCTCAATTAAAAATTACCAGATCACCTTGATGTAAATAAAAGAATGTCCTTTTAAAGTTTAAATTGTAATGTAGAGAAAGGAGAATGGAAGGATTAAAGAGTAAAAATGACGTGCAAACCTTCTGTTCATTTAGCCCATCCACCATTCAGTGGGGAAAGCCTCAGGAGGAACTTTTACTGTGCTGTTATTACACTCCTGTTAATCACATCTTCATTACAAATCTTCCTCTTTTCCACAGCTTTGGGTATTTATTTGAATGTGTCTGTATCAACACCACAGCTCTGCTGAGGCTGGGTACAGACAATGCAAATGTGGTGTTTGAACACAGAATTTCATGTTTTTGGTGTTTTTAGGGTTGCTGTGGAAGAGGCAGAGGAACAGCTGAGCCCCTCTCGTTACCATGGCACAACCTTGCCTTTTGCAGCACGACCCAGGTGAGATTTTTTTTCACATCACCAAGTGAATTTGGAGAGAAATGGAAACATCCCCAGAGAGAAAAAACACTCTGACACCAATCCACAGGGCGAGTGGAAGTGAGGGAGCAGCAAAACCCGAACAGCCTGAATGGAAATCCACAGCTGAACCCCAGTGGGGATGGTCAGCAGGTCCTGGCAGCCACAGCAGGTCCTGGCAGAGGTAAAAACCAACCTCAGCCTCTGTTGGTGTGTGCCAGCAGTACTCACGTGGGCTGGGGGTTTCCTCTGGCTTCACATTTGACGGTGAAATCCTCRTCGAAGGGGTAGGCAACCTGGGTGTGGGACTGCTCCGTGATGGTTGGGAGCTGGGAAACTGAGCACAAAGAGGAATGGGGTTAAAAACAACATTCCAGCCCAGCTGAGCTCTGGGTGTGAAATCCTKCCCTGGGGAGCAGCATTTGCCCTGAGACATCCACCTGCTCCTCTGCCAGGCTGGAACTGCACAAGCARGGAGGGATTTATGCACATCCAACAAGCCCCAGGGGGATTCAGAGGCAAAATGAGGAATTTAAGTGAAGAACAAACCCAAATTCTCGGAGTTAAACTCTGTGCTGGATGGCAAACACCACAGGGATGTTATCAGACAACTTCCCTGCTCCATTCACAGCCCCAAACAGGACAGATCAGACCTGAATTTCCCACAGGCCACATCCTGGCAAGATTAAATTCCGAGCAGAACACAACTGGAAAGGAGGATTGAATATTTTTCCTTCAGGGACAGCTGCAAAGGAACGCGGAAAACAAAAAGCAAAGCACACACAGCAAACAGCTACAGCTCACCTGATAATGGTATTTCAATAGCTGCTGCCAAACTCAATASGAACAAAAACAGGCATGTGGTGATGCCTTTTGTGCTGAGCAACATCTCCATCACTCTTCTGTAAACAAGGAGCCCAACCAGAGCGAGGGATTCCTTTGCTTCTGCTCACTGCCGCTTCAGATCACGCTCAGGGATGTGGGAGTGGGAGCCTGCTGAGGAAAACAAACAGCAGTGTTAGCCTGAAACACCAACTCAGGGCTGGAAAGGTCATAAATTAAAGAAATGCTTCAGGTTTGCAGCTAAATCGCACTAAATGGCCCCGTTTCCTCTCCTCCCATCCCCTGGCTTCAAGAACAACCTCCATTAAATTTCTAACAAAAACTAAATGAACAAAAGTACAGCTCTATTACAGCACAGAAGTATAATTATTTTTGTTGYTGGTTTGCAATTAAAAGAGAATACGGTGTATTTGTAATCATTCCAGTTCATAAATTTTTCTAATGAGAGCTGTGTAAGTTGGAAAGGAACGCAACAGATCTAATGAGAGGAATTTGGTACACTAATGACCTCGTTCATAAATCTCATCTGTCTCTTATCTTTCATTTATGCTSAAAGAAGGACACAACCTCATTTAGTTCATTACCAAGAACCAGAACATGAAACCTCTGCTTTTCCCCAGTAATCCCAGAAYTTCCACACGTGGGTTTCATTCATTCCATCAGATATCCATAGGTTCTGAGTTAGGAGGAAAAAAAGTTGTGTGGCTGTAAAAAGGAGACAGATCCAGCTCTGATGAGCATTTAAATGCAATCCACAGAGAAGGAAAGGAGAGAATTTTGGTTTGGATGGGATATTGGGAAGGAATTRTTCCYTGTGAGGGTGGAGAGCCCTGGCACAGGGTRCCCAGAGMAGCTGTGGSTGYCCCTGGAYCCCTGGAAATGTCCAAGGGAAGCTTGGACAGGGTTTGGAGCAGCCTGGGACAGTGSKAGGTGTCTCTGCCCATGCCAGRGGTGGCACTGGATGTTTTTTAAGGTCCCTTCCAATCCAAACCACACTGGGATTCTACAAAAGTGGGCGCACGGAGATTTCGGTCACCAGCTTCGTTCAGATGCTTCAGTGAATCCTTAACCCCTGTGCACCCTCTGAACTGAGCCCTCACTGCAAAGATAACTTTGGCAGAGAATTTGGAAGAGAAAGCCACTGTGCAGGAGTAGGGGATTGATCAGGGAACCCAGCCCAGCCTAACTCAGTTCAGTTCAGTTCAGTTCAGCTCAGCCCAGCCCAGCCCAAGCCCCATGAGCACTAAACCCGGCTCACACACAGCTCCTGTGTGTTTGCCCCCCGCTAATCCTGGGATCAGCACAGCAATCCAGGATCAGGGGGAGCAGTTGGCATGTGGGGACAGCAGGAGGTGACARTGGCCATGGCTGTCCTTGCCCAGCACAGCTGGATCCCCCAGCCCACACCCTCCAGCTCATGATTTTCTGCTCAGGGTTGCTTTTCTCTACAAAACACAGGTTTTTCCCCCATATTCCCTCTCACACCAACTCCAATGAGCACAACTCAGGCTGAGTTCTGTTCACACAGTCTCCAGTCCATGAAAACTTCCCAAAGTTCACATCTTTGAGACCAAAAGCCACGGGTGAACATTGAAATTGTCCAACGAGGGGCRAGCGACAGCCACCCTAATCACATCAGCCTCATTTGCTCAGAAATGAGGCTAAAAACCAGATGTCTTTGAAGTATTTGCTGATAGAAGAAGCTGACTAAGCTGCTTAGTGCCTGGCTCTGCAGAAGGRCACTGGGGAGGGGACAGGRACAGGGACAGGCTCAGCTGGCACCCCCAGGCTGTGCTGGGGGAATTCAGGCAGAATCAGCAGCACCGGCCTGTTCTGATTGTGGCAGTCGATATTYTCCAGTTTGAGCTCTGCTGGCTCTGCTCGGTGAGACGGGGACCTGGCAAAGCCCAGCCTGGAAAAGCTGGGGCTGTGACAGTGCAGGGACACGGGGACAGAGGGGCATGGGGACACACAGGGACATGGGGACAGAGGGGCATGGGGACACACACAGGGACACACACGGAGACACTGGGGCACACACAGGTGACACTGGGACACAGGGACACACAGGGACATGGGGACACTGGGACACACAGGGGACAGAGGGACACGGGGACATGCGGGACACTAAGGGGACACACACAGGGACATGGGGACACACACAAGGACACACACAGGGACACACACAGAGACACAGGGGACACTGGGACACACACAGGGACGCACACAGGAGACACACAGGGGACACACAGGGACATAGGGACACACAGGGGACACAGGGACACATAAGGACACACAGAGACACGGGGACAGAGGGACACGGGGACACACACAGCGACATGGGGACACGGGAGACATGGGATACACAAAGGGGCACGTGGGACACACAGTGACACACAGAGGGAACACAGGGGACATAGGGACACACAGGGGAAACGGGGACACACACAGCGACATGGGGACACAGGGGACATGGGATACACAAAGGGGCACGTGGGACACACAGTGACACACAGAGGGGACACATGGGACACAGGGACACACAGGGATGGGGGACACACATGGACACGGGACACACACGGGGACACACAGGGATACACAAAGGGGACACAAGGGACACACAGACAGGGACACAGGGACAGAGGGATACAGGGACACAAGGACACTCAGGGGACACTGGGACACACAGACAGGGACATGGGGACAGAGTGACACAGGGACACACACAGGGACACAGGGGATGCACACAGGGACACACACAGGGGATGCATACAGGGACACTCAGGGGACACAGGGACACACACAGTGACACTGGGACACCAGGCAGCCCCACCTGATGGCTGCTGTCACCACAGGACGGTCCCTCCCCCTCACCTCTCCTGGCACACGCTCAGCCCGGCTCGGTGCCAGCCCAGTGAAGCAGCTGCTGTGACAGAAATGCCTCTGACGCAGAATCACAGCTCGGGCTCACAAACCTGCCCAGCCACCCCTGCCCATCTGCTGCCAGCTCTGGGGACAGGGCACGAGGGTCAGGATGGCAGCAGAGGCAGGAGTGGCACTGCAGGAGGTGTGCAGCTTGCTAAGGGCACAGAGAGCTTCGTTTCGTATGGATGCTACAAAGCATTGTACAAATTCAGATTAAATAAATAACTAAATAAAGAAAAAGAAATAAGAAAAAAAAAAAAGCACACAGCTCTATTCATTAACCAAACTGAAAGGGATGAGAGGCAGATTTATTCACAAACAAACTCTGGGCTCTGCTGGTGGATAAGGACAGATCCTGACAGGTGAGAGAAGCAATGATGGAACCACAAATTCCAGAGGAATTCCACTCATTGACACAGACTGGTACTGACCCAAGGCAGGGCTGAATCCCTGGACTGGGAGAAAACAGAGACACAAAGAGTAAAAAGGGGGGGATGCACATGGATGGGGTCTGTGTTAGGGGATTGGGGCAGTCTGGGCCTCTCCAGTCCCTCAGCAATGGGGAGAGAGAGAGAGGGAAATGAGGTCAGGAAATTGGGATAAAAAGGAGGCTGYRCCMWCCAGMARYKRGAGAGACCCCATGGAAATGTCCCATGGCCTCTCCCTTTATTCCAATAAACTCACAGGACTCCTCTGTCTCCTTTCTGGACAGAAACCTCTGATGTTTGTGGGTTAATTTTCCTAATAAAACCAATTAGCTCACACCTTTTTTTTTTATTCTTTTTAATGAAGTGCCAGAGCACAGCACAGCACTCCACAGAAGCAGGGTTTCCTCCATGGTGTGGCACAGCCTCTGCAGGCTGCTGTAACCAGTGGGTCTGTCTGGCACCTCACTCACTSCTCCTGCCTGGCCTGAATACTAATGCTGGGGCTGACAGCACAGGGGCACCAGCAGGGCTGAATCCAGCACATCCAGCAGATAATCCCACCTGGAAACCTCCCTGCAGCAGTGTGACCTGGGCTGGAGCATCCTGGGGGGGTTCCACGAGGGGCAGACCTGGGGTGACACAAACCAGGCAGGAATCCCCTCCTGGAGGTGCTTTCAAGACAAGACTCATCAGGAATCCCCTGGTGGATTCCTTTTTTCCTGATCCATCCCTGCCCTGGGACAATTTGAAGCCATTCCCTGTGTCCTGTCCCTCCATCCCTTGTCCCCAGTCCCTCTCCAGCCTTTTCATAACCACTCCAGCACAGCAAAGCTGCCACAAGTTCTCCCCAAAGCCTTCTCCTCTCCTTTTTCCCAGGAATTCCACATCTTCCTTTGTCCTCACAGGCCCTTGCCTGCAGCACCCCTTGCACCAGGGAGAGGACATTGGGCTGACCAAGGAAACCTTTTTTCTGCACCACAAACAAACAGGGATTGCTCCAAAAAAACTTACATTTACAACCAACCCCTCCTCTCCCTCCGTCCTTCCCCCTCCTCCCTCCATTTCTATCTTTCTATTTGCTTTTCCCTGCCTCAGGCTTAAGCAGAATAATTTGAATTCACTGCAAATACTTATCTGTACTTCCTTACCTGCAATTCATTATTTACTGTGCTGTTGAGTTAATAGTAAATACTGATTGCTCTAAGGACAGCTCATTTGTTTGTTTAATGAGCTGCCTTTAACTTACACCCAGCAAATCTTTCAAACTATCAGCATTTCCAAGGAGTTCCAGATCCTTTCATTCCATCCAGAAGGATGTAATAAAAATATTGGACAACCAAACAAGGAAAAAGAGATTAAATTTCCATTCATCTTGTCAACCCAGAGAACAATTCTCCCTACATGTAATTACTGCATTAAAATTGCTCATAAATAGTAGCAGGATGGCAGCCAAAATTCCCAGATTACTGGCCCACCGCTTCCAAGAGAAATTATATTGCACTGCTAAATATGGCATCAACCTCAGCTCTTTGGTTCCCTGTTCAAATATCAAATATCCCTCTTCAAATATTGGTTCCAAGTTCTGATCCTTGTGGAAGTCCTGCACAGATCTTCAGGAAGGTGATGGATCCCCTCAGCTGAACCCTGGTGCATCCCTGGGCTGAGCTTTTCATTAGTTAGAGCCRGGTTTAATTTCTCAGTGCTATGGATGTTACAGGACTGGTAAATATTTGTAATTAGAAATTACAGTCTTCTGTGTGGCACCAGTTATGGAATAACAGGAAATCACTCTGGGAA